ATCGAGTTCCTCCCAAGATGAAGTAGGAGGGCTGGGGTGGAGAACCTCTGACCCTCTCTCTTATCTACCCCTTCTACCCATTCCCATGGCAGTGCTGGCTTGGTAGCTCAGACTGCCAGAGAATCAGGTCACTTCACTCTAACTTTCATTACTCAGATAATTGAAAGGCCAAGTTTGAATTTGTCATATTCTTACTCAGAAAGTAATTTTCTTAAAAATAAAACCTTTAATAATTATCAACTTTTTTTGTACTATTTTTCCTAATAGCATTTATTCTTCAGCATCCAATTAATGAACATTCTAAATTCCAGCAAAACCACCATTCCTATAATAAGCACCCTCCCCTCCTCACCCCGTGCACAGCTTGTCTTCATGTTCTGACGACATCCTGCTCCTCCAACCTCATTTGCCCTAGCTTTCTTGTCCCTAACACATGCCATGTCAGCCCTCTCTTCTCTTTTGTGGGCGTTCCCTGGTCTCAGTGATCCTGTTCGTTTATTTAGATCAGAAGTTCTCTACTAGTGGAGAGTCCCATACTCCCTCCCCAGGGGAGGAATGTCTGAAGACATTTTTCATGGTCACAAATGAGGGTGGGGTGCTATTGACATCCGGTGGGTAGAGGCCAGAGGTGCTGCCAAGCCGCCTATAATATACAAGACAGCCTTCCAACAAAAGGAATAATCCAGGCCAAACTAGCAACAGTGCTGAGCTTGACTTAAATCATGTGCCATTCTTTAGTGCATTGAAAGCTACATGCAGCTGCCAGAGTTGGATGAATTGCTATCAGATGTTTATTGAACACTTTGGAAATGCTGGACGCTACCACAGCTGTAGAATTTCAGAGCTTTGCTTTGCTGAAAACCAAAGTTCAGAGAGAAGTCAATAGGGAGAAGAGACTCAAATGACCTCTTTCTGCAGTCAGATACACTTTAGTTCCAAAGAATTTCTTTCTTGATAGGCTTCTCTATCCTGGAACAGGCTATGCAAGGCTTTTGTCCTAAAAACCATTGGCAGCAGGGTGCATATTTCTTAGGTTTAGATAATCAAAAGCTTTTATTAAATCTTTTTAAAAAATTTTTTTTTGAAATTTCTTTTGGGGACCACACAGTATGTTGAAACTGAATGTAAAAACGAGAATTCTAGATAGGGAAGAGGGGAGGGAAGGCAAGTGAGGAGACAGGGGATTAGCAAGAATGGTGGAATATGATGGACATCATTATCCAAAGTACATATATAAAGACACGAATTGGGTCTCAACCTACTTTATATACAAACAGAGATATGAAAAATTGTGGTATATATGTGTAATAAGAATTACAATGCAAAAAAACAAGTACATGTATAAAGACATGAATTGGCATGAATACACTTTATACAAAGGTATGGAAAATTGTGCTCTATATGTGAGATAA